CGCTTTAATACTGTAGATAAAAAAAAATTTTTTTTTTTGTTGACAGACAGAAGACAGAAGTAAAAATTTTTTCAGATGTTCGTGAATGCTTACTTACTACAAAAAAAGTCTATTTATATTGTTAAATGCTATTACAGGATAGAAGGTAACAGCAGTTTTCATGATCCAGATACAATTGAAACCAAAACTAGAGAAGTTTTATTAGCTGGTGGGCTGGCACATGTGGATGTACATCGACCAGCATGCAGTTTAGATTCGTCGTTAGATGTTCAACAATTTGATGTTTTAGTATCGGTATTCTGCTTAGAATCAGCATGTTCATCTCATGAACAATACCGTAATGCAATGGCCAATATGGTAAGTTAGCCTATTGATTTATCAACTTTTTTAAATTATAAAATTTTAACCGAATTAACAGAAAAAAAAACCGTATTTTTCTTAGTCTCTTTTTACTATTTTATCACTTTTATTTACTGTTTTATTAAACTTTACAGAAACAGTGTTATTATGTGATGCAATTTTTTTTTTTGCAGTTACAATTGCTAAGACCTGGCGGAAAGGTTATCCTTGGTTCAGTGCTTGAAGATAACGCTTATAACTCAGGAAAATCGAGGCTATTTTCGCTGTTGGATGTAACAGAAGATCAAATTGTTTGTGAACTAGAAAAAAATTCAATTGATCCAAATAGTTTGTATAAAATTTCTTTAGACGAACAGGGTGTAATGTTTCTGATGGGTACCAAAAGTTGTTTGTCTGAAGAACGGCAATTAAGTGCTGCAAAAGAAATTTGTCGTTGATTTTTCTGTAGCAGATTTTAACTAGCTTAAAGCTGCAGAAATTAGATTATAGTTTTAGAAATAATTAGATGTGATTATTTTCGGGTAAATAACGTATCAGAATTGACCAAACCATATGTGACAATAATGCCAAATAAAATTTATGTTAACACCTATCTTCTGTCTTGTCATAAGTTCAGTCGATCTTTTAAACATCAAAGTCAAATTAAGTGATTGATTCTGTAAGCGGTTTATTTTTTCGTTATTAAAATGTCTATTGAAGATGATGTCGAAAAATCAGACGAAAAAAGTAGAGATATAAAGATCGTGTTTGTTGCACTCGTAAACATTATTTGAAGCAGTATTAAAGAGCATAATCATCGCAGTACTTTTCAACATCACCTGAAAATGCAGTATATTAACAGAAAAAAAGTTTCTGATAAGTTTCTTTTAACCACTAAAAAAAGAAAATTTGACTAAAGCATTTAACTGTCCAAAAAATTTAAGACTACTGTTTAATTATTATTGTAAAATTTTTTCATTTATTTTTCTCGTATTTCAGTATTATTACCCCTGCAGTAAGCACTTTAACCAAAACGATTATTTCAATAAAAGCCATAATTTACTAAAGTTATTATAGCTCTCAATACAACGCATAAATGACTACTAAATTACTATGATAGCTAAAAGTGTTAAACAACAAGGTAAACAGTCATCTGTAAAATTAACGTGAATAATATAATTGTTTAACTTACAGGTATTACTTTGGCAAAAATAGTAATAAGAAGGTTCATCCCAAGTACACTTTTCACTTCGCCATTCAGTTCCAGTTTCAGTCTCAGTCAAATGATTAGCCGGGCAACCATTTTTCTTGTCTGTTGACTTCCAGTTTTGGTAAGCATTATCGGGTACCTATAGTAAATTAGATCATCTTTTTGTTAATTGTACTGATTTTTGAAGAGGGTAATTTATGTTGGACACAACTTCAAAATGTCGCCGTGCTGAGTTGTTGCAATTATTGGAGTGAACAATTAATGTTAATCAAATTGCAAACCTTTTTGCCATTGTTTTCCCACATAAATCCACCGTCTTCCATCGGGCGCATACCAGTCCAGTATGGTGTAAACGATTTATCGGCAACTTCTACAATCAAATGATTTATGCTCAATTTTGTTTTGTTTTTTTCAACTTTTCAACAACTGTTTGTTAAAGTGTCATCCAAGCCAAAAACTTTCTTTTGAACAAGAAACTTAAGGTTATCACAACTTTTCTTTTGATTGAAAGAAGCACTACCACAATTGTTGCTAGAAGTATTATAACTTTATAAATCTAACACAACCAATTCAGCTATACTTAATATCCTTTTCAAAAAAAAAAAAAAA